TTCTATTTATTCTTCCGTCCCATCAATAAATGCAGACAGATTTTTATTATCCTCACAGTCTCCTGACAGCTGAGAGCAACACTTCCTAGCCATTACCAAGAGACATGGAGGCTGGGACAGAATGTATTTATTTTATCCTCAGCTGTTGCAGCTGATCTCTTCCACCTTTTGTCCCTCCTTACTGCTTTTCTGCCACCTTTGACTTCCTACTATATTCCTTTAAAAGTGCTCAGCTTTCCACCTCCGTATGCAAGATGAGATGAGAAGAAAGGATCTGTCATTGAGATGGGTGTCTGTAGCTCACATACTGCTCTGCAGCAGGGCTGAACTGGACAGGCTCACGATGGAGCTGCTCTTCCCACAGCCCCAAAGATTCAGCAGGACCGCCCATGTCTTCTCCCACAGCTAAAAACGTTTTTACAGGTAGGAAGACCACACAGGGCACCACACTGGCCCTGCATGCCTCATGTGCTGTGTCACACAGAGTACAGCCCTGCTGATCTGCAAGAGCACTGATGTTCTGGGCATGCTCATCCACAGGTACTTGTTGTTTCCACGGATATCTCTAAGCTAAAAATAAATTTAGCAGTTTTGAATACCGTTAGTTCAGAGCTGCCTTTACCCTGACTGAGCACTAGGTAGCACTATCACTCTAAGAAAGCAAAGAGAAGCACATCAACACGGCAATCGTTTTTCCCCTCTGAGACCAGAAAAAAAAATACTACATTACCAGATTAAAACTCGGTTTTATAAAATTACTCAAAATACACTTATAGTCACAACACTCTTATCACCTCTGATATACAACAGTAGTGTCTTTCAAGTATTTTTCTCTTAGCATCAGAATTTATGACCGTAAATCTTCACAAAGCAATACTGAGATTTTACACTTGTTTTGTTTGTATTTACTGTAAGAAAATATGATTAAATATGATGATGATGAAACTGCTTCACAGAACTCAGTACTCAAATTACCTGGAGATCTAGTAAACGATCCCCTCTACCTGCTACCATCCTAAAAAAATATATAATCTGAAGGTGGCAATAAGTAGCTGAACACAAGGCTCTGTAGACAGTATAAACATTAAACCCAGATTCAAGAGCACAAAAAAAAAAGCACTGGGTTTTACATGACCTTTGCAACTTATTAGTAATCTACTTTAGCAAGTGGTTCTGGATGGATGTGTACTGAATGTCACTGCTCCAGCATGGTCCCCAGGAGGCTTTATTTTGGTGGTGTGCTCAGAAATCTTTTGTAGTTTCCAACACTCTGGAATGCATAATTTTATTTATAGCATGTAATTATCTTAGATTCAACACTCAGATTTTACTGCAGCTACATAGTTTGTGAAAGCTTATCCTCTCCAGGAAGAGTCTGACAGCAAACCCTATGTTGAAAGGAAGCACTTTTCCTTGCTAATTTAATCATGCTTGAGTTGTAAAGTGCAGCTATGACTAAGGGGCTCTTCCTGAAGTGCCAAAGATTTTCTTCTGTTCACTATCTTGAAAACCTTAATGGTATTTTTTTCTCCTATGTTAATAACAGAGGAACTTTAATGAAGCAAGGATGAGAATTAAGACTTCAGTGACTAGGCAACAGAGGGTATTTCAAAGCTCATATATGGGAAAAGATAATTTTATCTATTTCTAGGGTATGGAAGGGAAAAAATGCTGAATTTCCAACTTCATCTGTAAGTCTCCATCTTCTCTTATGCATGTCCAGCTAGTCTCAAACCCTGACTCAGAGCCACCACTTCAATACTAGCTGATGGCAAAGTTAGGAGCACTGAACATCATAAACTGAGGAAGGTATTCGACTTCCCTTCCCAAGGTTTGTACCTCAATAATGATACTGGATGCAAAAGCTAAAAAAAATAAATCCAAGCCTTTCGTACCCAGAAAAACAAAGTAATGGCTTCTGCCCCATTCTCTCCATTGATAAATTACAGACTTTTTCCATAAATATGTTAAAACTTTCTGTTATGTTAGGAAAGATCCTCCTCCTGAGAAAACACCTGCAGGTGAAGTGCACTGCAACAAAACCAGGAGGTAAACTATATATCTGAAAATAGGAGCCAGTATGGGATCAATTGCTCTACAGATGCTGTATTGATGCAGCAGTACGGAAGGTGCAGGGTTAAGCAGAGAACCAGTACCAGGTTGGACAAGTGTTCACAATCTATTCTTGCTGTCAAAGAGCAGAGAGATCATTGGGAAGTATTTCTGCCCCAGCCTCAGTACAGTCATTCCCACATTCATGTCTTGATTGCAGCAGAAACTGATATACAAGAGGCAATACTCAGATTTATGAGCTGCGTTTGCATGTCACTGTGAAGCAAGATCCTTGCTTACCATCCGAGGCATGTGTCCTACAGTTTGGGAATCTTTACTGTTAACCAAGGATTTGGGTAATCAGCATGTGTCATTTCAAGACACTATCCAGGCAGGAAGATAACTCCTTAAGTTCTGTTTCAGATTTTAAACTTTTTATAATTGAAAAAAATAGGCATGAGTTTGACACACATTTCCCCCTCAAATAAAATTCAAGAAACAGAGTTCAGTTCATTAAGGAAAGTTTTACTGAACATATTCGACAGCTAAAGATAGGATATTCTACGTCTTAAAGATGGAGTCAGCTACAACTGACTCAGCTTTCCCTCCTCTTACTGTCTCTTGAACTCCATCTGAACCAGCTAAAAATGTGGGCACCTTAATTTCAAAAAAAAAAAAAAAAGCATCAGTGAGAATTTCTCAAAACCCAAATCCCTCTTATTTCAGTTCATCAGGCTGCAACACTTCATCTTAGAAGATTATGAGCTCTACAGTACCCGAGTTCTCTTCGCTCTGGCCATGGCTATGACCTGTCCTTGCCTCTCCCACTTACTGTCTGCACATGGTACAAACCCCCAAAGCCCATGTGGCAAGGAATCCTTCCATTCACTACTCAGCTCTTCTCAGTAGCTCACTTCCGCACTCCTCGTTGTAAGTCATGTACATGAAACACATTTTAAAGGAAGAATGAGGAAATAACCAGAGTATTCCTTCACTATCAGAGCCTCCCGACCACTTCCAGCTGCAGGTGATTTTGTACAGCCCTGAGCACAAACACTAGTAAAAACATTAATTTACAGCCACAAGAAAATCCACTTATGCACTTCAGGATATTGATAGCTTTGAAAATCCAGCACCATGTAAGAGTGATTTTTGTGAACAGAGCAACACAGGTTTTCCAACATTTTGGGTTTAGTTTTTGTCTTACAAGTCACTTAAAACTGCTGCTGCCTCCTCCTCATTTGGTGTGTTAAGACTTCCATGGTACCACCTCTCACAGTACCATAAAAAAACCCCAAAAGCTAAATATTGCATATGGTGGCAGTCTCTCATTCTTCCTACAAAAGGATCATTTCTCCCCTGCATAGCTCACTATCCACACTTGTGACACATCAGTCACAAACAAGCCAGGAAATTACTAGGCTTCTACAAGTCAGACTTGAATTTCAAGTGCAGAATTAGCACAAAAGCCTTTTGCATCATTAGCTAAATTCAAGCACCTCTTTCAAGTACTACTTCTGGATCTCTGATAAGGTAAAAAGAGGTGGTGATTTAGAAACCATAACTTCCAGAAGGTACATCTGACACTGCTGCAAGAATACCAGTCGTGTAGAGCACAGGGATGCATGAAATCCCACTAGAAAATTTGGTGGGGTTTTTTTTTTTATTCCTGTAAGTACATCCTTCCACACTGGTCTTTGACATTGAATTGAGACACCAGAGTTTGGAGTCTGCTATGAAACAGCAAATAATGAATAAATTTTTTTTTCCCCTCAACTTCTCTCAATTGTGAATATTTCCTAGCAGGGTTTTTACTAATCTCCTTCTAATACTCTCATGCAAGATTCAGCAAGTAAACACTGAATAAATGTGCTTTGGAACTGTATGAATTATTTCCTAGAGTACTACAGAACATTAAAGGACAAAGTATTTTGTGAGAGTATTTTTGCTTTCACAAACAAATTAAACCTCTCGGAATTGATGATGTAAATAATTTAGTAAATGGAATAATGCTGAATTGGGAAGAAGTGAGGCAGAGTGTACATCTTTAGGAGAGCAGCGTGCTTTGCAAAAGAAAGATGATCCCACTAATAGTCTCACAGAATAGCTCCAATTCATGCACTGCTTTTGTCTGAAAATGTTGATCCTGTCAAAAGGAACACTCAGAAGTGAAAAAAAAATCAAGGAAAAAAACTTTCATCTGTATGGTTTTGTTATTCATTAACTGATATTTTCAACAATGTCAGACAAGGCCTCTTAAGCCCTCCAGTGCATTGAAACCTCTCATTTTCCTGAAGTTAGTTTAACTGATACATCAGTTCCAGGAGGCAGTTTACGAACAGAAGCTTCACAGTAGATATACAGCATGTGTGTGTGTCAACCTTGCTCACAGGCCCCTCCTAAAGAGATCCTTATAAAAAAAAAAAAGGATAAATAAAATCCTTCAAAGGAGACTTGTGTTGTCATCTAAAAAAGTAGATGGTGCTACATGGTACAAAATCTCTGCTGAGTAGCAGTCATTAAGTGCTCTTAACCCAGGACAGGAAAAAGTAAATGGTCACAAAAGAGAATAGGTGCAATTCAACAATAAAACCAAGGACAGCAACAAAAAATACATTTTCGTTGATATGATCATTCGGCTTTAACAACCTCACGGAACAGACAGGGTTGCATTGTCTAAGAAAATAATGGAGATAACACAGGAACTCCAAAATGAAGGAGACTCTTTTGCAGCAGGAATGTGATGGTTAGCAAAATCCTACTGTACCTCCCCTGCCGCAGTATCATCATGTGCTTGTCTTTGCTACCAGGTGTAGTGTCTGTGAGTGGGGGTGCCTTCAAACATAAATTACCAATAAACACACATTGTATTTAGTGTCAGGGAATTAATTGAGCTTTCCGGAATGAAAGCCTTTTGGCACAAAAATGATAAACCGAGGTTGACCTACCTGAATGGGTCCCACTGACATCAGCAGGTTTTTCAGTTGGACATCAGTAGTTGATGAAGAAAGCCCTTCAACTGACACAATACAGGGCTGAGGTTTGCACTCCACCACTCGCAGGTTCTGTTTATTTGGCATCAAGCGTCCTCGGCCCATCTGGCCTGCTACTCCTCTGCCTCTGCCATGCATAATGACCTGCCAACAACAAAAGTAACAGTATTTTGATTTACTTACCTAGTGCTTCTGCTCACTGCATCTGACAGATGATATAAAAGTTGGCAATTTACTGAAAGACTTGATTAAAGTTCGTGTTGATTTAACACAGCTTGTTGCCGTTTGCCCATTTGAAAGGCCACTTATTAACATATTCATCTACTGCTTATACAAACCTCTTTTAGAAGGATAGCAAGTTATATATTGAATTACATATACTGCATTGAGGCTAAAAGCCTCTGCTTTAGCACAGATTGACCAAGCAGTGGAAGGTCTCAGACCAAAATCTATAGCCTAGTTTTCAACAATGATCACATTAGCAGCATGTGTACAGCTACCATATTTTCAGTCTGGCCAAAAAAAACAACCAGTGATCACTCTCCTTTTTCTCTTTTCATCCCACAAACAAATTTAATGTCTCCACAAGACCAGTGAAGTGCTTCAAGCACCGCCAGTCTCTTTTACTATCAACTCTTGGTCTGATATCAGGATGAAGTACTTGCATATGCTAAGTAACTTTAAAACAATTTTTTTTTCAAAGTTCCTTTCCCCCAGATCATGTAGGATCTGGCACCACAGTATCCTTTGCAGTAGGAAATATGTGGATTTTGTTCTTATAAATTAAAGGTTGAACAGTTGGAGAGAGGAAAAATAACAATGAAACAAGAGTAACGAACATTAAACATTTAACACTCAACACAGTTTCTCAATTCCTGCTTGAAAACCTATGGAGGGTAATGACTTTTCACATGCCTCTGCATCAGCAAGGAAACTTTATCCTTATGTAAAGCAGGAAGATTATGCCTAACAGTTCAAAACCAAGAAATAACTTAAAAGCCAAAATACCAGCTATTTTCAGGGAGCGTGCCAGTTTAAAATGCTGAGAAGGCACACACCAATGCCACTCAAACCCTTTCCCTGCCTCCTCCCTGTGCATGATCAGTGCAAAAAATCAAGTTACAAGATCACCAACTGTTCTGATACCAACTCTGAGGATCAACCAAAGAGCATCCTGGAACAGTCGCTGTGTACTTCCACATATGCAGGAAGCAGCTGGAATAAAAGCTTAAGCACAACTTCGGAAAAACTCTTGGTTTTAGAGACAGAAAGCAGGTTGGATATACCATCTCCTACAGAAGCTATGTCAGGACACGAGCATTTCCCCCAGGGAGTACTGTGCTGGCCAGAAAGCCAGAAGATGAAGCAACCTGCAGGCATCACCAGTCTGTGCTGGACACAAACAGGTCTCTCTAAATTAAAAGCTTTATATGCAATTATGCATCTCCTGAGTCATGCAGCCCTGCGCTAGCAATTGACAAACAGAATGCTAGTTATTAATAGAGCAACACAGCTAGACAGTAAAACTTCTAGCAGCAATATGCATCTAAAAATCACCTTTTTAGGTTGATGGATTCCCTGGATGTTTTTGACTCCTTGAGGAGCTGGTGAATGGATCTGAGCCTGCTGCTGCTGTTGGTGCTGCTGCTGTTGCATTCCCTTTGTCAATGTGACCTTCCGCACTGGCTGCTGTTTCGGCTCCGGGGGTTGTTGAGGCCGCTGGGGCTGGCCCTCTGGGTGAAAAAAGCCAGCATCCTCTCCCCCCTGCTGAAATCAACAACACAACAGGCGGCTCAATGTCCAGGCACTGCAAACCCTCGCCCTGAGCAGCCTCCTGCCACATCTAGCTCGCTCAGCTCACAGAGAACGCCCAGCAGTTTGCCTGCTAAAGCAAACCAGCAGCCATGGCAGGCGTGTGCAAGGGCTCAGCCTGGAAATTGTGCTTCAGCCTAAAATAAATCCACGGTATCTGAAGAACAGTTTACTTTGTTCAGACTTTATTATAATTACAATGTTCAAAAATGTCTTTTCATATACAGAGCATCAAGGTGTTTTCACTTCACTTTTCAAATCATTCTTCCTTCCCAGGTTACATGTGAACTATGGTGTGTGTTTTTTTTTAATTACTTTATAAAAAAAAAAAATACATACACATTGCGAACAAGGAGCAAAGAATTGTGAAGGCCAGAAGAGCCAGATGAATATTCTGATCATCTTTAAAACTTTAACTTCTCTTTAATTAAAAGCTGGTATTTTTTTTGAAGCACATACTTATTCTGCTAACTTCTATACCAGCAGCCTTTTGAGCAGTCTCCTTCCTCAAACACTGTCCATACTAGGAACAATTCTTCCTCAAAGTGGGGTGTTTTTTGTTTGTTTTATAAAGCTATTATAGATATTTATAACAACAAGTACAATGAAACACCTCAGTGCCCCTCTCATCCAGTGTAGTTCCTTCCACTATACCTCTCAGTGCAATCAAGCACAGTAAAAGTAATTCCCTTCTACTGCCCCTACTCAAGCAGTTCAGCTTCTTCTACAAACAGAAAGGCGATTCTTGAATTTGTGTCCTGCTATCCAGATCAGCTCAGTCACTGAAAAAAATCCCATGGAGCAAGAGACAAGAGAGCTCAACAAATGATCAGGTACTTTTGCAACTGTAAAACACATCAGATTATTGCATGGTTTCAACAGCAGTATCTATACCTTGACTGGACTCCAACTTTAGAACTCAAATATTAGTGAACATTATAAATCTGCACACAGAAGGCTTTGCCAAAGCCCCTAACCCACCTCAGGTAACCCCTCAAAAGCTCTCAAACAGAAGGCATGTCTAAAGGAAAAAAAAAACAAAACAAAACAACCCACATTTAAAAATATTGTGAAAGCATCTTTATTTACATATGTTTTATTCACTTTCCTTAAATATTGACAAGTCAAAACTCCTTCCGCATCTTTAACATGTCAGGAAACAGAAGGCTTCATGTTTCTTGTGGACAAGGAGACAAAATACAAGGCTGTAGAAGGAACAGGTTTATGGTCTAAGAGCAAGATTGACAGTGTCAGTCATTATGTCTCCACCAGAATTACAAAAAGGAAACAAAACCACCTACCAAGGACTGGTTACCAAGCCTCCTCACTATCATTTGAAGATAGATAGTCTGGTATAGGTGATATCTAGGACAGTCTCATGTTTGCAAGTTCACTGGTGCAGAACTGACGTCCCTGAAGTCTTCTAAATTATCAAGTATATGCAGGCAACAGCTTCTCAAGAACTCAACTAATTCAATCCCAAACAAATCAGGTTCATCAGTCCTTGCCCCAACTACGCTTAAAAAGCACGATCCGTCGTCATAGGGAAAATCTTTAAGGTCTTCCCACTTAACGGCTTTCATCCAGTGTCCAAAGGAAGAAAGCAACTGAAAACTGCATTTGTTTTTTTTTCCATTTCTAATCAAATATATTTTTTACTCTGCTAAACTGAATGGCTCTGTGGCATCACTGAAAATTTTGTACATAACTTTTGAGAGCAGTAACTAGTGAGAAATTAAAAAGCTCTCCTTTCAGTCTCTCTCTCTTCAATTACTGCTCAAAAATGTAAAAGTAACAGCTCTCCTCCTCTCCTGAAAAACCCAGATGTATGTACACAAACAAAACCTTACCAGGAAACCAGCATTAAATCCTCCTCATTTTAGTGTTAGTTCAAATATCAGCATCACCATAAGCCCTATGCCCTGATCAGATAATTTATTTTATTCAACCCTACAGCAGCTGGGAAAATGATGAAACTAAAATGAACAAAAAATTATAGGTGGGATTTAAATGCAGTAATTGGGAGTTAAAATCTAATCTCTGCTAACTGCCTGCTGTGAAAAACAATCATAAATATTTGCAACAATTTCTTTCCAAAACAAAAAGTAATCCCAGCATATAGGAAAAGCATCTGAGGGTGAAGCCCTCAGGTACGAAACACATCGAACATGCTCATTACTGAAACTTCAAAAGCAAACAGTCATTTCCCATAAAAGGCTAGGATGGCCAACAACCACGTAATATTTAACTACCAAGCCCAGTTATCACTAAATAAAACTTTATAAACTAAACCAAACAACTATAACAGAATCAAAGGCGTAAGTACACAAAACTGGCTCACACTGATGAAAAATTTGATGGGGTCTGTTCCCTGTTGGGGTCTCAAATGCCAGCTTTGTGCTTCACTGCTAGCATGATGCTCCGGCAAAAATCTGAAAAGACAGAAACATCTCCAGACACAGAAATAAGATGATATATACAAAATAATATAGAAAGTCCATAGGATAAGAAAAGGGGGTGGAGCAAAGTCTGCCTGTCCCTGCAACAAGGAAGAAAGGGCAATCAGATCAAACCCCTTCTTTTACTATTGCTTTGAACATCTACTTTTTAAGATGACTTGAAGAGGGGAAGCAGAGATGAACCTGTAAGCACCACTTCTCAGGAGAGACCTGTGAGCAAGCAACTTGGTGCTCAAGGACTAACAGTTGTCCCTGCGAGTCAGCAAGACGTTTCCCATTACAAGTACCCCTAGCTTCAACTGAAAACAAAATCTGGTGGTTTTCTTAATGAAAACAAAACGTAACTCGTAGGTTACTATGTGCCTAACAAGTGAAACAACACAGGCTCAATTTTAGCACCAATTTCTTTTTCACTGGTTAAAAACATGACAGCACAAGAACAAGCACTGTCCACACCAAAATGAACAACCTATGTAGTACTTAGTGGCAGTTTAGACTCATCATCAACAACATCCTTTAAACAACTTCTATGCAAGACAATTAGCAGCTTCTTCAGGCACGCCAATGAAGAACTGAGTCAAGAAAAATACCCACAAAGAGGTTTTAACATCTGGACTTAGAGCTGTAAAACCTCAGAACATTACTTACAGGTCACATGCTTCTATGAGAACATGAGTGTTTTGGAGGAAAAGACATATGACTGTAAAGATGACTGTACATATATTAACTCCTGATTTTCACTCATTAGGTATACAATCAGCTGGCACCCAGCAGGTAAATCAAAACACATCTGCTTGCCTGTAGCTTTGCTGTAAGTGAACCAAAGCTGTATTGCAAAAGCTACCTAAACTGACATCTATATCAGAGAAGATAAACAGTTAGCATCTCTTCTACATAAAATGTCTCGGTTCTAGCTCATGTGAAATCAACTCTTGCTTTTCCTAAAAACAATTTTTGTATTGTTAACTTTTCATTAGCTTACATCACTGCTCTCCCCAAATTTAAACACAGAGCAACAGGAGGTATTAAAATTTTAATTTTTCTCTTGTCAAAATACAGACTTATCTCATTTTTTCTATAGCATTTTGGCATGTACAGGGCAACACTAAATTTTTCAGATGCATCTATTCTTCATCATGGTCTGCCTCAAACAATTTATGCACAAAGTACCAAAACCAGGTAGAATACTTGTCAGTCCCCCACAGAAAACTGAGATTGATTGATACAAGCTCTGCAAGTTTCCTCTAACTTCCTCAGCAGAAAAGTGAATTTCCAATCTTTGTTTGTGAACAATGAAGAATGTTTTTCTGTTACTGTCTACTGCATAATTTCTGTATCACAAATCATTCTGAGCTTCAAGACCTGAATTTCCAAGTTATATAAAGGGTCGACCTTCAAAACATATAACCAGGAAACCTTACTATCATTTGGTTAATTCTGGAGTAATGAAAATGTCTTTAGAACTGATTCCCTGATACTTATCAAGGTTGTTTTTCAATAGTGAGACTCTCTCACTATACATATATACACACATATATACACACACACACACACACACACACACACACACACACACACACACACACAGAGTCAAGTGTTGTGTTTTGAGAAACTTAAAGACCATTCTATCAAATATGAGATCATAAATTCTAAAAGCAAAATTTTATAAAGGACTGGTTAAATTTAGAAGCTGAAGCTCTCTATCATAATCATGACGACAGTGTTACAATAAAGATGAAGTTTATTTGCCACCAACATTAGCAGGACAAATTTATTTATAACAAATGCTTTAAAATGTACTGATAAAAATGCCTATTGATACTGTCAGAGCTGCTTGCAATTTGACAGATCAAATCTTATTTTCATTCTTAAACCCCATGAAGGAATGGTATCACCAACTTGCATTCTGTAGTGAGCAAATTGATTAATCCCCCTCTATAGAAATCTCAACTCTTGATTACACCTATCAGACGTTAAGCAGCATTATTCTAGAGTGACAACACTTGACAAATTCCCAAACCATTTTTCTCAGCCTTTGTGGCCCTGCTAGCTTGTATTAACCCTGATGAAAAATTAATTTTCCTTATCTTCTGCTAAACCCCAAAATCCAAATCCGCCAAACTGGCAACTCTTTCTGTAAAGGTATTATGAAAACCTCTAAAAGATTAATTGCATGTCTTCAGGTGACATTAAATTAATTTCTGTACTCGTGACAGACATTTGATACTCCGTACTGAGAGGACAGATAACATTGTCAGGATACACAGAAGGACAGTGGTGCAGTGTCCCAGGGCAGCCTCTTATGAATTCTCCTTTCGATAAGGCCATACTTCACTGTCATTGGCACTGTTAGTGATCTTGCAGCCCATAGACCTCACTGCACAGGTTTCTATTAACTACGACAATGCTGTGTCTATCCATGTAATCTTTATAAAGCTAATTCAAAAATCACCCAATAGTAAAGGGATGCGTATGCCAGATAAAGCACTTAAAGGA